GCATGGTAGTCAGCACTTTAAACACAACACGTTGTTTTACAGGCAGCCAATGCAGTTGTTGAAGTACTGGCATGATATGTTGTCTGTAGCGTGTTTTTGTAAGACAACGCGCAGCATTGTTCTGAGCCACTTGTAATCGGTGCATGGTTCGATCGGTTATGCCAAGCAGAAGGGCATTGTGGTAGTCGAGATGGGATATGACTGTTGTATTGATGACCTTTGCACACGCTTCCTGGGTGAGATGTTGTTTCACCTTGGAGATTCTCCTAATGTTGAAATATATCTTTTTTACCATGGAGTTGACTTGTGTTTCCATTGATAAGGTGGCATCCAGGGTAGCACCGAGGTTTTTAACAGTAGATTGAGATGTCACTATTGCGTCACCAATCTTCAGCTGAATGTTCTTAACACGGTTCTGGTTATGGGCGCTGGCAATCACCATTATCTCGGTCTTTGCATCATTCAGTTTGAGTTTGTTTACAGTCATCCAGGTTCGGACACTCGCTATGCACTCCTCCATAACCTTGACTTGTTCCGTACGCTTGACATTGTTTTTTACACTCAGACGGTTGTACAATTGAGTGTCGTCTGCAAATCCATGACGGCTAATGTCATACCAATTGATGACTCTCCTGAGTGGTAGAAGGTACACCAGGAAGAGGAGGGGACCGAGAACAGACCCTTGTAGCACTCCAGTGGACAATGGCACATCTGAGGACACACTGTTGTTGATCTTTACTGCTTGAGTGCGGTTACTCAGGTAAGACTGTACCCAACGGAGCGCTGTGTCCGTCAGTCCAACGTCCACATGTAGTCTCTCTACTAAGAGGGTGTGATCAATGGTGTCGAATGCAGCACTCAGGTCGAGAAGGACGAGAAGCATGGCATCACCTTCATCCAGTACTGCTTCTACGTCTGCTTTTATTCGTAGGATGGCTGTTTCAGTGCTGGTACCGGTCTTGTAAGCTGACTGCATCATGAAGACCGTTTCTGGTGAGATGACCATTCAGCTGTTGTGCAACAACACGTTCGATGACCTTGCTGATAAAAGGAATATTTGAGACTGGTCTGTAGTTAGTGAAGATATTCATATTCAGTCATGGCTTTTTAAAACGTGGTGTAACTAGTGCACGTTTTAGCTTATTTGGAAAGACCCCGGTTGAAAGTGATGTATTAACCAGCTCAGTAATTGTCGGTAGCATCACAGAGAGGACAGCACTGTTCTTTAAGAGCGCAGTGGGGATGACATCCAGTGAGCAGGTCTTATTTGCGCAAATATTGATGACCTTGTTTACTTCTTCATGCGTCTGGACCTTGAAGCAGCCAAGTTGAGGCACTGGTTTATCCAGGTCTGAAGAAGCTGTACTGTCATGGAGATCTGTGTCATTAAGACCCTGCCGGATCTTCTGAACTTTCTTGTGGAAAAACTTAACAAAATCATCGGCAAGGGTCTAGTCATTAGTAGCCGGTGGTAGAGGAGTTCCTGCATTATAATTCAATAGACTACTAATAAATCTGAAAGTCTCTTTACTAACCGCTGTGGTGAGCTTTTCCTGATAATATCTGGATTTGGCAGAGTTGATCATATGCACCACAGATCGGGACTGTTCTGTAAGCATCTGTCTATGGACCTCTAGGCCTGAGCTCATGGCTTTACGCTCCAACTGTCTTCTCCGTTTTCTTGCTTCATGGATTGAGTCATTGTACCATGGTTTAAGAGAGTCTCCTTTGATGGTGATGGTTCGTTTGGGTGCTATGCTGTCCAGGACCACTTCCACTTTGGAGTCTATTGCTGACAGCAGTTCATTGACATCGCTCCCTTCTTTGATGGAATCCAGCGATTCTGCTAGTTCTCGTGCTAGTGTTTCCACAGGGATGCGCTTCAATGGCCTAGCCAGCCGACTTTTGTTTGCTAGGTGCAATGGACAAGTGTAAAGTTGGCAAGTAACCGCATAGTGATCTGAGATCCCTATATCAGTCACAGTAATAGACTTATCAAGTGGGAATATGGGGTCATTCCTTGTGAACACCAAGTCCAGAGTGTGTCCAGCTGCATGGGTAGCGACGTTAACATTTTGTTTTAGGTCAAGTCCAGCCACTATGTCCTGAACCTGTTTCGTGTGTGACATGCCCGGTTCATCATAATGGCTGTTCGTGTCACCGAGGATGCATAATTGGGATGGAATAGTTGTGCATACATGTAATAGGAATTGTTACCACTCCTTGAGGAATTGGGTTCCTGTGAGACCATTCTGTTTGAGGGAGGAGGATGATACACGAGCACTAGAATAACAGGATGATTGCTATCTAGCCTGACTGTGCAAGTTTCAAAAGTCTTGAATTCAGGTTGAGGGGTACATGTGATATCCATGCTGGCTTTGATGACAAAACCAACCCCTCCTCCTCTGGTCCCTTTGGACGTAGGTCTAGGCACGCCAATGTATTTGTATCCAGGAGAGCAGAGATCGTTTATGTGCGAATCGTCTCCTTCACGCAACCAGGTTTCGGTTATAGCCAAGATGTCGATACCCTTATCATTGATATATTCGCAGAGGAATACAGCTTTCCCTGCTACAGATCTTGCATTGATCAGGTGCAGACTGATAGACTTGTCTATTATATGCATATGCTTGTTCTTGGTAGGAATTTTCATGAGTTTTTTTTTCATTTACACCATTCGAATGTTCGATGTATACATTTCTATCAAGAGACACCTTCACCTGTATTTTCCTGTGGCTTGAAAACCGGCCCACTTGTGCTAGAAAAGGGACTTCCTCATTAGGCTTCTCAGAAATTGATACGGTAGATATAGGAGTACTTAGTGTATCACTTGAGATACAAACTAGTTTACTGATATTAACTTTAGATTGTTGGTGTCTCGTATATCTATACCGCCCAACACAGACTGTTTGAATGTGTCTGACGAACCTGCGTCCCGCTTTCGTTCATCGTCTGACATGAAAGTGTTTTAATATGAACTGTCGGAGGTAGGTCAGTTGATCTATTGAAGCACATTATACAACTATTGAAATCTTGACCTGCACAACTTGATAGAACAACCTACTAAATACAACTAGGGTCGAACAAAAGTCAGGTCGTACTGCAACATTTATGTATTCTTGCATAAGACAATTCATTCGCGGGTCGACTTATCAATATAATCCAAGACTTCAGGAAATCAAGTCGTACGACATCTTAAATCCTTAGTGCAGTACGAAGATTCATAGAAGAACTTTATAAAATATTTTGGGCGGAAGATAGTTAATTTGAACTATAATCGTGGTAAAGTTACGCATCAGAGAGCATAATGCTTAAAATTATTGTCTTAAAATCTGTTTAAAATGCAAGTTTCTTTGCAAAATTATTACCGTCTTTGTATCTAGCATTGTGAACTGTAAAAGCTTATCAAATCTTAAAACAGGAACTTCCGTAGTTAAAGAGAAATCTATTTAAACAATCAGAGGTGAAGCAGCCATGACATAGCGCTAACACACTCGATTGATTGATTGATTGTATATTGTTTAACGCCCCTCTCGAGAATTTTTCACTCATATGGAGACGCCACCACTTGCCGGTGGAGAGCTGCAAAGTTTGTCCTATACTCGGCACTCAGGGCCATTGAGCAGTGGGTGATCTTTTTTGTGCCAGTACCATCTGCGACAATGGATGGTACTGGCACAACAAATTTATACGGTCTCATCCGAAGGACCGGTCTCCACGTCCCACAGTGGGATTCGAACCCGCGACGTAAGGATTGACTCCTTACTTCGCGACTCTAGAGCAGATACTCTAACCACTGCGCTAAGCGGGCGACCCTAACACACTCGAACACTCTTGATTATAATCTTTCGAATTCAACATGTAACATTGTAGATATAAAGTATTTTATTATATATATATAGTTTGTTTAGTTAAGTAGTAGTGTTACTTGTTTATTTTTTCTTTTTGTTTCTAGTTTTTATTTGTTCTTATGATTTTTTAACTTTTTTTCTTTGTTCTGAGGAAGGTACAAACATTTGACATTTTTTTTGTTCATTGGTAATTTTTAGTGCTTTATACTAGGGGTGATCAAAAAGTTCGCAAACTAATTGAATAACTTCCATGAAAGAAACAATATTTGGTTTCAATGTTGATAATATTTTAAATCAATCCTCTCCGATTTTAATGCACAGCAACCACCGTTTTGCGCATGCGCGAGCCACGTGATATTGGCGGTCACGTGACCCCCTCCGTAGCGTTCTGTCACAAAAGTTGAAAGATTTTACTGAGTCTTATATTTCTTTCCATGTGAGTTAATTTTTATGACAAGAACAGTTCATTTGTCAGAAATCTCGGCAACAGAATGGGAGGATAAGAATATCATTTCCAAAAATAAGCATGGCGACCTTTAAAACACAAATCTTGTGTCTCGGGAGAGATTTTCATTCAAGGTGGATAGAGAACAGTAGTCTTCTTTTAACATGTTTAAAATCAAAAGTAAACGAAATCTTAGGTATTTAATAATTATATCATAGTTCAAATATTCAACTATTTTTCAAAGTGAAAATTGGAGGTCTTTGATAGCAAATTGCTTAATTAAAAACACATATCTTTTCAAAATTGCTTTCATTGACAAGTATCATTTTTAACCATCTGCCTTCCTTCACTAAAACGATCAATCCAATCATTAAATGAATTTATAGGAACTCATTTATCTTAGTAAACTGTGTACAAATTATTATATGATACTGCAGAGGGATTTCCAAGATATACCATAAATTGTCAGTCGTTTGTTGAATGAGTTCGACTGAAACAACCATTTTTCGTCACAAGTGACCTACATAGTGACGTCATTTTGAAATTGTGACGTCACAAAGAGAAAAACTTTACTCAGCATATGCTATTGATAGACCTCGTGTATGGCTATGTGTGTACCGAATTTCATTCTAATCTGAATTGTGGTTTTGCAGATATAGAGATAGTTTACGAACTTTTTGATCACCCCTCGTATATATACTTACGATGACAGGGTTATTTTAGTTGGACCTGTAGGCATCTAAAAATGAAAAAAAAAAAAGAAGCAAGGGATAACGTGTATTTTTAGATTTTAATTTACATGTAGCTGACATTTTATATTAAATATAACTTCATAATATTTTTACCTGTTCATCCTGATCATCAGTGGCATGGGTACCATTTTGTGAGTCTTCATCCTCAGTTGTTTTATTTTCAGATTGGTTTGGAGTGCTTGGTTCTTTGATATCTTTTTCATTAGTCACATTAATCACATTTTCGTTTCGTTTTGCGGGAAATTGTTGCGACTCATTTTGATCAGATTTTTCGGATTTATTGCTTTCTTTGTATACATCCTCATCATTTGGTTTAAGTTCCTTATCGTTTTCGTTATCTTCTGTAGGTATTTCTTTTTTTGTGTTTTCTTTTGACTCACATACTCTTTCATATATATTCACTTTTTGATTGTTACTTTCACTATCTTTCTGATCATTCGCTGCAACGTTCATTTCAGAGTCAATTTTTGTCTCTTCTTTCTTTTCGTTCTCTTCGGTCTCAACATTACTTACAGATAAGGGAGTCTGTGTCGGTGCTTCAGGTTTTGCGATTTCTTTTGGAGCGGATTCTTCTAACTCTTTGCTGTCTTTGTGTAAAACATCTTTATCTTTAGTTGGTATGTTATTTCTTAAGTTATATTCACTTCCCTCATCGTTATTCGTGTTGTTCATAAAAGTAGGTGGGCACCAAACAGCTTCTTCACTTCCACTGGAGTCCGATCTTTGTAAATTTGCTGGCTCCCCAAGTTTCTCTTCTTCATCAGTTCTGTCCTTATCTGACGTATTTGTACCTGCAATTTGAATCTACATTTCTAGTATTGAATTAAACCATAAAGTGCTGACAAAAAAGTAGCACCACTGATTTAAATGATGCATGTTTTAGGAACTCATGAGTTAAAATATTAAAATATTACCTTCTGAATTTCCATTCAGAATCACAGAAACAAGGTTCATTTTTTTTTCTTATTTCCTACAGACTTTTTTCACTAAATTACTGTAATCTGAAGAAATATCAGCGAATTATGGGTAAATCACATTCAGAAACAAAGTAATCTGAAGATATTTGTGTATCTGCTTGTAGATCAAAATCATGGTCCTATTTAGGTTCAGACATGAAAAAATAAATTAAAGTAAGTGAGGTACCTGCCAAATAAATGTACTTGACAGATTGTACATTTCAGACAATGATCTTCTACATTGTATAATGGGCCTAATCGTATTTTTGGATGTTGACATGATCAAAGTACAGGGACAACCCCAGAATGTTTTGTCATTACTGTCAGTTTGTAGCACTCTTGATCTTGATAATGTTTGTTCCTTCTTCCACACAATTCCCTCCAGAAAAAATTAAATCCTGTCAACATCTCATTTTTAATCAAATCCCAAAGTAATCTCAAATGAATTGTTTCACACGACATGTATCATGTTAATTTTAGTATAAGCCTGGTTCCAAAGAAAAGTTTGAGTTCTTTTTTTGCATATAAAGATATTTCTAAAGTACCTCCTGACATTAATATCGAATACATATGTTTGTTGATTGTTTTACGCTCCTTTCGATATTCTTTTTTTCTTACTCATATCGAGACTTAACCACTTGTCGATGAAGGCCTGCATATCGAGACCTTTACTCGGCACACAGTGCCATTGAACTGTGAGGGACTTTTTTTGTGTCAACATCTACTGCGATTATAGAGCAAACGCCATAACCAATGCGCCATGTGGGCGACCTATTCTTACATGTACTTACATGCTTGAGACGTTTCTTCCATTTCCCGATTTTCTGAGTCCTTGTATATAGTTTCTGTATTTGGTATCTGTTCGGTATCTTGTCGTCCCCCTTCTACTGTAATATTGAAGAAAAAGATATCGCAAAGTTGTAGTTTTGAAGTTTAGTTTGGAGGGAAAAAATTAAACGAATGGAACTCAACCCATTCATTTTAGAGTTATCCACGAATGTTGTCGGAGCAAAGCCAAAATCCTCTGTATTTTGGGGGGAATTGGATCCGGTATTTATTGCTTCAATTACTGTCAATTTTTATCAAGAGACACAGCCTTCCTTTTAGCCGGAGACGTAATTTTAAATCATTTTACTAACTCAAACATGAATTTTATTCAAACAATTTATTACATATATGTGATATTTTAGAATTAATACATTGTACATGTAATCTTCAATCTTACTTTTTCTTGCTTATCGTTATGATACAGATTTCTGTAAGATTACGGAATGTATGGGGAAAATCATAAACATTTATAAATAAAAGGTTTATTTAGAATTTATTGAAATTTTACTTAAGTTATTTCTCTGCTGTTCTGGACATAATTTTTTGAATAAACGGTTAAACTTTATTAATAAAATTGTACTATTATCAAGAAATTCTATCCCTGTAGCACAAAACCATTGCAACGTTACAACTGTTAATCATGAATTTGAAACGATATCATACGAACACAAGCACTTGACTTTTTAGCCTTATGTCTTGTTATGTTCCTGTTTTTAGCTGAACCATTTACTGACTTTGTATAATACTAAAACCAGTTTATTATTATCATTATTGACCAATCACATCATTTCTTTTGTTTTGTGTACGAGTCTGTGATTCGATTGAATATATGTAAACGTGTTCAACACATGTGCGCATCTCTCTGGGTCCATAGCTATTCAAAGTTTCTTTAGTTTAATATGGTGGCAGCGGTAAAGTTGTTAAATTAACAGACTAAATGATGTTCCGACCGCAGGTTGAGATTATTTTGTGCATTATTTTCATTATTTTGGGAACTACGCCTACGTATGTCTGTGTCAACTTTAACGACACATCATGTTACGGGTGCATAAGTTCATTTTTGAATGACCAACATGTAGCAGCTTTTAGAACTCTCAAGTACATGTATTACCCTTTCTCAAAATCTATTCAATACTGGTGATCCGCCAACTACATACCCGGAAAGCTTTCTCGTGATGGAGACGCAGCTATTTTTTTTCGCGCAAAAGGAAAGTTTATGAGGTTGGCGCTCGTGTCAAAAAACAGGATGCGACAATCCGAGCTACCATTAACCACAAAAAAGCCTAGAACTACTGGAAACGCTACCATTTGATAATATAGCTCTTTGCAAAGATGCTGACGTATTCTCAAACTGCTTGAAACTCACTTAATTGGTACTTCTAATGAAATTTGTGAAAAAAACAAGTTTTACATTCGTTCTCAGAAAAAAAGTAGAACCTTTTGATGTTTTGGTGCATTGGTCGGAGCAATCAGTGAACTCTTCAAGTCCTGTAATTTTGGTGCTCTTGGGGACGCTTTACTCCTTGACAAAAGAATATATGTTGTTAACAAGGAACACAAAAGACTCCTTGATAAAATGCAACTCAACCTGGCAAAAGTTATTAACATTTGTAAGGCTGATTAGTCGGCTACACACAAGCATCCGAAATAGGCAAGTCAACAGACACAAAGCAGGAATATGTCCATAGTGTAAAAACATTCTCAGAGACCACAGTGAGTACCCTCTTCACAAGTAAGATAACACAAAGGATAAATTCAAAGACAAATAAATCAGTGCAAGTATTACGGTGGTGCACATCAGTAGAAAAAGGAAGCGCGTCCGGTGTATAGGAAGACTTGTAAGCTAAATACTGTAAGCAAGGTGCAAATACTCGTGTTCACAGTGTAGAATAGGACGATGACTATTACGCAGAGTCTGAGTACTTGAATAGGCAGGTCAGTACTGCTATCGCAGGTGGATCTGAACGTCATTGTGCGGAACTCATGGTATACAATCAATCAATAGATTTTCAGATCGACACAGGTACTTCTAACAATCTCAATGGAAAGAAATGGATTGGTGACACCACTATTACTCCATCAACTAGTACTTTAGCGGTGTAGAATGGCTCACGTAAGGAACATAATGGGGAGTGTATTCTGAATTTAGTCAATCACAAGAACTGAACCAAATACAACGTTAAGTTTGTAGTTGTCAATGAGGACTTAATTCCACTATTAAATCGGATTTAACGCATGTACACAAACGGGACTCATAACCATTAATCAGGACACAATAAAGCGAGGAAAATCTGTGTACTCTGTCCGATTGTTACGTACAAGGATGTATTTGAGGACAAAATAAACAACTTCCAGTATAGTAGCACATATTGAGGTTAACCCTTCCGTTCCACCAGTTATTTCACCAGTCCGGAAAGTTGCAGTTCACATGAAGCCAAAACTAAAAGAAACACTAGATGATTTGACAAAGAGATCATCATAGCTCCTGTAAACTAGCCCACTGATTGGCACAGTCACCTTGTATATGCATGTACCACTGAGGGAAATGTGAACTCTGGTTATGTTTAGATCAAGAGCATCTCAACAAAGCACTAAAACGTTAACATTTCCATTTCCCTGTACTGCAAGAGATGCTATCTGACCTAGCACATGCAAATGTGTTCTCAACATGTGTTCTGCATCATGGCTACTGGCACGTGAGGCTGAATGATGAAAGTAGGTCACATGACTACATTTGACACTTTTAGAAAGTACAATTGGCTAAGAATGTTCCAACAACATCTATATCAGGCTATAGGCGACTTGAGAGGGATTCTGAACATCGTAGATGATGTATTTCTCTATGATGTTTGCGAGACCAAGAATGAAAAGGGGCATTTCTCCAGAGATACCAATACGTTGGTATCCGACTCAATTCGAAAAAGATGCGATTGGACGCATCGCATTGCAAGGCTTTCAACAAAAATTTCTCTCCTCTGAAAATCATCACCAATACTACGATGATAAGAAACCACTTACAATACGTCCCAATGAAGCTTAGGAGCAGCCCATCTACAAGAAGGAAAACTAATTGCATACGTTAGCCTTGCATACACTCACTTCAGCGTAAAACTGAGGCGAACTATGCTCAGATTGAGAAGAAACTTCTGGCCATAGTTTTTGCATTGGAAAAGTTTCATCACTACACATTTGCTCGACATGTTGTGGTACAGTCTGACCACAAACCACTAGGAACTTTCATCCCAGGCTCTCTCTCTCTCTCTCTCTCTAGAAATTAAAACTCCAGAGATGAAACTCCGGCTCCAGAAATCTGACATAACTGTTAAGTACCACGGGGGCAAGGAAATGCACCTGATGCAAGTGACCCATGTATCCTAAAAATGTCTTATTTGTCCGAACGGATTTCTAATTTCTCAAAATTAAAAAAATTATTTGATTCGTTAGAAGTATCTTATCCGTCCTAAGAGATATATCGGTATCTAATTTTTCTGAATAAATATCTCTGAGTCATTTGTCCGAACGAACTTCTAATTCATCCGATAGAATATCTTATTCTTCCAAACGAATATCTCATTGTATCCGAACAAATATCTAGTCCGTCCGAACAAATACTAGAATCCAATTTGTCCGAACGAACACCTAATCATTTCGAACATACGAGTATATGTAATTTGTTCAAACAAATACCAAATTCGTCCGAATATATCTTATGTTCCGATAAAATATCTAACTTGTCCTATAAAGATCTAATTAGTCCAACAGAATTTCTAATTTGTCCGTACAAATATCCAATTCGCCCAAACAAATATTTAATCAACCCTAACAAACGTCTAATTCGTCCGAATGAATAACTAAGCAATTTGTCTTAAGAAATATCTCATTCGTCACAAGGAATTTCTATTGAAGACGACGGAAAAAAATTGATATCAAATTGTCTTCGGTGAGACTCTTTGTTGATCTTTTTAAGAAATAAAAATCTTTAAAATGTCTATTAGAAAAGAAAGATAAAGAGATAAAGATTTGAATACTCATGAAAAGAATATTTTTGCACTCAAATTGATACATATATAGTCTTTACCCTTACTTTCAAGGTCATCTTCTTCAATATTTCTTTTTTCTTCACTCGTTTTATTGGTTGAGTGCATTGCTTTCTTTGAAGATTGTTTTTCTTTTATTGGTTCTGTGTCGCTGGTTCTCGATCTGTTTCCAATGGCATCTGCAAAATAAAGTTGAGAGATTGGCTAATTGATTGTATGTTGTTTAACGTGTCTCTTGAGAATTTTGTCACTCATATGGAGACGCCACCGGAGAAGAGCTATATTCGGCACTAAGGGCCATTGAGCAGTGATGGACCCTTTTTTGTGCCAGCACCTACTGCGACATTGGACCTCGGTTTATACGGTCTCATCCGAAAGACCTGTCTCCACGTCCCCCAGTGAGATCCAAACCTGCTACTTTAGGATCAACTCCTTACTTTGCGACTCTACAGCAGATGCTCTAGCCACTGCGCCACGCGGGCAATGCAAAATTTTGAGAGAAAAAGTAGTGATTTGTTTGTTTCATTTCCTATTTTTATTTTTTTTTTCTAATTTATGTTATACAGTGTATTATTTATTTTGGGGGAGGGGGTCCATTTAAATCTTATACCCTGTATGAAAGCAGGTGAAAGATAATGCACAAACATAAAAATTAACTGCAAATAATTGTTATGAAATGGAAGTAATTGCTAGTTCCATGATAGGATTGTTTCTGAGTAAGGTGAATGCTCAAAACTATAGGCAGCCAAATTTTGCAACATTTTTGTGAAGAAATGTAGTACTTTA